AGTCCAAACACAGATTTCATACCGCCAAGGCTGACTACGGGGTTCCCGTGCAACTTTGGTCAAGATTCACATACCTCTGGTCTCACGCTTATGGGACGAACAATGCGCCGCCGTAGCAGATAAAACGGAATAACAATATTTTCTAATCGTTACGCCACGCCGCCGCAGCAGACTATGAGAGCTAATTGGATTTTGTAATTTCACGTAGGTAGRTAGGTATCAGGCGTACCTACTATGCACCTATAGTATTATGCGTTGGAAGGGACGAGTGAAATATTATAATTATATCACGTCGGACAAATACAATGAAATCGTAATCCTTATTTCACGATCACCTTAAAGACACAGGACGTCGCCAATAGGACTATAGTTATGTGTAATAATATAAGAAACGAAATACAATATGCGCACGCGTGTTCATATAATTAATTAGTTATTGACTTATTGTCTATATAAAATATGAAACGAGGATTATTACATAATGGCCAGATATTTGCGTAAAACAACGTATCGAACTATATATTGTATAGGTACCTCCACACACGAAACCCCGCGAAATCATTCTAACTTATATTCCTTATCATGGAATTATTATATATAAAAAATATCAATACATTTATTGTATTTATATTCAAGACGGCCATTAGTCAGATGCTCGGTGTGTTTTGTCACAACCAACCTCCGAAGTAAAGTAAAAAAATCGTTGTAACGATACTGCATTTAATAATATTATCGTAATAAACTTTGGATTTTTCTATAGCGTTTGATATACATAGAATTCATCGAAGGACTCGGAGCCCAATTAGAAGACAATGCCACCCTTATTATTGTTACAATATATGAAACCATGAAAAAAATTTGCGATACTTAAAAAAAAAAAAATAGTATGTACACCTAACATGTGTAATAAACTCTGTCATACGTCATATAAAATATTTGTATGTGTTTAAAACACAATTTGAATATGTTTAAAAAAAATATGAAAAAAAAACGTTATAAATAATATTATTTGTCGTTTCTTTTATGTTATTATATTTTAATATAATATACATATATATATATATTTATAGGGTACTCACACACAACAATGTCAAGGTTGTGCATATACGTTAGTCATGCATATCCGTCCATCTGAATAATTGTTGGTCAATTGTGTAGTAAACAATTTTGAATTACCRCGCCAAAAGCGTCGTGGAAAAACAAAAATAACCACAAATCGTATAGTTTTGCCTAAGAAATTACTGGACGTGAGTAGGTTTTTCAAACGCGATGCGGCGGTGACCTTCTTATTCGGCGGTAGCTCGAGCGCGATATTTCGCWTCTGGTCACCACCACAAAGTTTTATTGTTAATTTCGTAATTGTAAGTATATTTTAGATAACCTTATTAATAAAAAATAAACCACCGTAGCCGTAGTTCCGAATTTCGATTATCACACAAGTGTGATCGAATCACTGGTCAGTATAATATACCTAAACCTAATAAACGAGCGACCTCCAATCATCTATAAATCCCAATTAGCGTATTCSTACGATTGGATTTCATAAAATATTTCTAACTAAAAAATATACCTATAACTTACACGATCTGAAAATACGAGTTTAAGCGTGTTGTAAAGTTACAGTTTGACTGCATATTATATGATTATAATTTATATTATCAATAGTAGTATACTAGTATTATATGAAGGAAACATTATCATACGTTTGTCATAAATATTTCAATAAAATAATATGCAGGTATAATGTAATAAATGTAAAGTAAATGTTGTGTTTTTGAGCATTTAAAATTTTGCAGGATATTGAAAATTAAATTAAAACGCAATTTTTTTATTCATTGCACTATTTTGATGGTTCGATGATTCGATGTATCGATTATTTGAAAATATTATTCATCTTGTTTTTATATCGAACATGCTATTCTTTATTATATCTTACGATCATTATTTTGATACTTAAATACTCAACAGCTGATATTGTACCTATAATAAATATGTAGTAACTTATAAAGTAGATAGTAAATGTGGACAAAATATTATGATGATTTAAAATTCAATTGTTTAAAAGTATTGACAAAGAACAACAAATTGTTTTTTGATTTACATATTATAATAAAATCTATAATAAAATTCAAAATTTAGTAAGATAAAGGTATAGTGTTTTATTKATGTAACGAATTCATATTAGTATAACAATTATTATTTATATGAAGTGTTTTATTGAATTTTGTATACTTCATTTTTAGTTAAATATTTTATAAACYGCCTAATAAGTAATTTKTAATACAGAGAAATCATTTTTGAGTTTATCAAATGCGTTTTCCCGAACACATATAAAATACCTTTAGTATATGAATATAAAAAATGCAAATAATCATAAAGTTTTATTTTTCATGATTAAAGTAGGTAAAATAGAGAAATTGTTGGCCCCCTTCACCTCTATAACTCAATCTGATTTCCTGTCTTCATAGGCAAATGTATTTTTGAACAGTTACTGTAAAAATAAAGAAGAATAAAGGTCCGAACAAAAAAAAGTTAGCTGATATAATATATTTTACTATAACTAGCAACTACGCATTTRTAATAATTTAAGCAGTTAAAATACATTAGATTAGCACCGATGTCATAAATAATTTTCTAGTATAAAAATGTGCACAGCTCTGTACCAAATATGAATWTATGACTAATGAAATATGCCTATGTTGAATGTATATTTCGCATAATATACAAACCTATTATATGTACCTATAATTATATAAATGTGGGTAGATATTAATATCACTATTAATTAAATTGGAAACTTTAAATTTTGTCACATAAATATTTGTAAACTAATCCAATAATATTTATCTATATACTAAATTAATCAATGACTTTAAGATACTATGGAAATACGATTTTTTTTTTTAATTTAATGTAATTTAGTAGGTACCTACCCACATCATATTTTAAGGTAGTTTATTCAAGAGTAATAGTTATTAAATTTTTAATTATTAATATATTTTATAACTGATCGTTACTACTTACTTGCAAATGCCAAATACCAAACWATTTTAATTAGAAATAAAAAGTTTAAAAAAATCATTTAATTATAACATTATGTTGTAACCAAATAATAATGTCTGTAGGTACCTAATATTATTTATTCAGACGAATTCACAACTGACGTCTTTACTAAACCTTTTCCGCACATAAACGTTTGTTTTTAAATTGTCAACAAAAAGTTTTATAATTTATGATAATTACCTACTCACGRTGTAATGAGGTATATTGAATTATTATACAGTAGGTAATTGTAATAATCGTGCCGTAAATAAAAATCACWGAGATTGTATGATAGTATACAAATTTTCATCTATTATTAAAAACACTTTTGAAATTTCAGAAGGTGAAATTGGTAATACATTTGTTGTATGTGCATAAAAATACAAAATAAAAGCCAAATTAATTATCAAATTATGTTTAGATCCGATAAAATAGTATAATAACATGTGTTATTAATTTACTKCTGTACTATAATAGTATCGGTATAGATATCAGTGCCCAGTGGTGTAATATTAAAAGTTATAATTTACTAGCATCTGTAACAAACCGCATATTGTTSGATTATTCGTCAAAAATGTATCGTCACCACCGCGTAGGACTATCCTAAAGTTTAAAAATTATATATGTACCTCATAGTGCTGGTAAGTGGTACGTAATTATTATAAAATATTCTTATGCTATAAATTACATAATATTATTATGTAAATATCCCRAATACCGTGTCATACGCATAATCGGAATGATAAAAACTAAGTAATTGCAACAGAACTTACCGCTCTTATTTGCGTTCCTTCGTTGACGTTAGTCTCGAAATCCCATTGCGCCTGCACGTTAAGGTTGCACTGTTGCGATCCGGCCACGTCGAGCTGTTGCAGTAATTGCCGGATATTGCTGTTGGACAACGTCAACGGTCCCTGTTGAATCGGGGGTGTTGGTATAGGTGACACCCGTGGATCGGTCCGGGACGTGAACCTACCGGAAGTCTCGAAATTCTGTTCTGGTTCGTCGGTAGTGAACTTCCGGCCACCCCTCTGGAACCCTGGCTGCTGTTGTGGCTGCTGCTGTCGCTGTTGGAATATCCCATCGAAACCAGTCCGCGATTGCTGATTCTCCTGTTGTTGTTGTTGCACCGAGTACCTGCACCAAAAATCAAACTTAAGTAATTGAAATCAATATACAGTACAAAAATGTAGTATAAATAAATAAAAAGGAGAAATGAAGGGGTAAGCAAGATCTGATTTTTGACAATTGACTACCTACTTTAAAATTTAAATRCAAAATTTGGTTTTTGTCTACATACGAGGGTACGATGGAAATACGTATTTAATTTGCATAATAAATTACACATTTCTTTAAATCAATAAAATAAATTTATAAATGTACAAAATATGAAATAGAAGTTATTGTACAGTGTAACTTCTCTCTTGTAAAGATCGATGTTATATGACATGTTTTTTAAAATATTGAAACACTATTATACAGTATATATAATACATTACTAATAACTATAGTATTTTAATGTATTTATTGTCAACACAATTTATAAAACCATAGGATAAAACTGTATGGTACGGACCTGTTGAATGCGTCCTGCAGGATACGACGGCGGTCTTGTAGATCTCCGCCGGCCAGAAAATAATCATTGGGATCCAAGTACTTGTTGTCCACCTGATCTACTTGGCATCGGGCCAGTCTCACGGCTGAAAGGATTGTTGCCGAAACGACAAAGATCGTCGCCAAGGCGTTCATATTGTATCGCCGGTAGAAAACCCGACGAAAATCGACTGTTGYGATTATACGGTACAATTTTTTTTTTTTACTAAACTGAGTTCCCAAGTATACAATCGTGTGAGGTTCTCGTGTAATGTTATTTGTTATATTATTTGATTGTCGATGAAAAGAAACGCTTTCAGAAAAAAAGTTGAGACGTTCGGAACGATACAAACTCCATCACACAAAACCAAAACTACGCGAACACGGCGATGTTCGAACTGGTGTCAGACAAATCGTGCGCGTTGCATATATGAAGCGGCCTAATGAGTCGTACGAAGGTACTGATAACGTCGGCGACGACGATGAGGAGACTTGAACGCCGCCGCCGCCGGGCTTCCTAATAATAATAATAATAGTAATAGTAATAAAACAACGGTCTGGCGTAGGTGGGGAAACGATTTGTGTATACACAAAACGATTCTCCGCAGGACGGCGGCGCGTGTCGAAAGTTCGCCTTGAACCGCATAATAACATATAACATAATAGTCAACGAGATCTGCCGACGAGAAGTGGCTCTTTTTTTTTATTACTTGCTTGTCTTTCAAAATATAACACGAGAAGACATAATATTGTAATAAAAAATAGAAACGTCAAAAATTTATTTACAGAATTGACATTACAATGACGTATATTGTACGTGTTTTTTTAACGCGATATTATCGATCAATTAGACTGTCTATCATTATACTATCATACACATACAGGTGCTCTGGTTTCTCATTTCCTGATCTGTATAATATCTATGCGTTAACCCSGTTTATCACATTTTGAGTGATCATCGAATACATTTGACTACCGAAAATAATATAATATTTAGGTGCCTATTATAGTAATAAAATAAATGTCTGAAAGTCTGTCATAGGCCGCAGTATCACACGTTTGCCATATTTTTTTTATTTATATTTATTATAAGTAAATGTACAATATAATTGTATAATAATGGCCAGAACATAATATTATAATATATAATCAAACGAATGACTACTGCATTTAAATAGCTAGGAGGTACCTATRGTATTTGTTTTGTTTTTGTTTAAGGTTTAAGTTATATTCGGTATTTCGGTACACTAAGTGCAATAACAATATAAGGCAAAGTTTTAAATTATTGATTTAAGATAATATATTGTCTCAACTCATTTATTATTGAATCAAGGAGTAATTATTACCAATTTTTCATTTGTTTAAGTCAACATTATAATAATATTATGTCATGTAACTATGACATGACATAATCGTATAACGATCTCAGTTGTATGTTTGGAAATAAATTAATGTGYTTATGAATAAAAAAAATAACGCACTTAGAACCTTTTATAAACGACTAATTGTACTATAGAGAGTGATRACAGATAGAGAGTGTACTAATAAGTGATAACAGGTATTTGTAATTAAGACATACCATCATCGCTATTAGAATATAATGCTTACGTAGTTATATTTATATTATATTAAAATTATGTTAATGGATCAAATATATTTTTGACATATCACATATTATGTTCATAAGATAATGTAACGATTAGAGGGTGACCCTTACTAATATTACCAAGAGCTATAGGTACCTACGACGTTTGAATACATGATGATTGGATTACGTTCTCAAGTATTTTAACGTACAATATTCAGAATAAACAATAGCTACACCAAGTYAGAAGYCATGTGTAATGTATACAAAGTGATTCATTTTACTAACTACACTCGTTTTCTAAGTCAGTTGTTATTGTATTTGAAAAAAAAAACAAAATCTTTTATAAGATATAGATAGGAAATTATTTAAGTATTAGGTACCTAATTTTTAGTATAGTATATGTTAAAGTCAGTCTTAAGAACAGAGACTATCACAAAAGAAGATTACACTGGTCTGGGCACGCWATGAGAAGTCGAAACTAATTACTAAGGGCACGGATTGAATAAAATCCTATAAGAAAAATACCTCTGAGAAAACCGAATGAGGTTGCTTCCAACCACTCTTCCAGTGAATATGAGGAATGTAATCCATACTCACGCCATTAATATTATTAATATAACTGCCTGAAAATTAAAAATAGTCGCAACCTGGAGTTAAATTAATCACTCCATATACATTTTTATAAAATTATATTAGGTACATAAAATATTGTGTATTCATGTGCATGATATATACGTACATAGGTAACTACGCACAGTTGCTCCAAGATTATCCAAATAGAGAACAATTATAAACATTACAGACACTGGCTGTATTTTAATGGATTGTTAGTTGTTACAGTACAGTAATTCAAACATATCGTAAATTGCAGTGCGGTTCGATGAAAATACAGGAAACCCGATACCGTGTCGTCAGTGTAGAAGCGGTGGGTGGGCGAGAGTTTGCTGGGACATTTCCAAGTGGCCGTCATCGCGTCGATCTAGTCACGATAATACTTATACTTTACGCAGCGATCTACCGATATCGGCAAAAGCAGCTGGGTTTGAACGATGCGATATTTCGGTAAGGAAAACAAAAATGAAAATTAAGAAGAAGACGCTCGTGGAATTTGCGAGGACGCGGCCGCGTTGATTTATGTCACAAGGCTACTTATTATTTGCAGTGAAAATGACGAAAGTCGAAGCAACGATCGTAATAAACGCAAGAAAAAAAAAGGTAAATAAACACATAATAATATAATATACACTACGGATTCTTTTTATTTCGTTGCTTACGTTCTCGCACGCGGTTTATAAGAAGAAGGTCGTCATATCATATTATAATATATAGGCATATAAATATACGCTCGCGGCCTGGCCTGGCCGGTCTGTGGGAACGTTTCGGCGGACGACGATTGTATTCGGCATGAGGAGGACGCACGTGCATCGTGCACGAAGGTCTATGATATGGAAATCGGACGTGGTTCTCATGATAAAAAAATGTGTGCGATAATATTATTGTGTTTGTGCGCGTTTTCCGTCCGACATCGCAAATGCTGAATCATTTCGAGCTTTTCGCGGCAGTCGAGAATGAGAAAAACGACGGTGTATCCGTCTCCCGACTTGTACCGGTCACATATATTGTTGTTATTGTTGTTAAACGTAGAAAGCAAACGCAGCATTGTGTTATGTGATTGAAAAACGATTTTCACCRGCAATTATATTATCTATGCGTAATTGTCCAAAAACAGAACAACTCGARCCTATATACACTGCCGACTATTTTATTATTTTTAGTTGCATATTTTCTAAAAGTGTCCACGTCGTGCTGTCATTAACGCAGGATGTGACTTGAATATTCTCGCAGGTATACTATAATAAATACAGCTGATAGTCTAGCTAGTATTTGGCACATATAAATATGTAGACGAACTTTTGAAAGTTCATTAAAACTAGAATATCAAATATTGACGTAAATATATATTTTTTTAAATAAAATAATGCATATACTTCTGGAAACTATAGGTGCCTACTACCTATTATATCCAGATGTATTATGTGCAATGTGCATGATATGGTGATGAAGTAATAAATGGTTGAGAAAAGTATACCTATAAGTAATAACTTAAACAGTACAAAAACTAATGTAGTTATAATATGCAAATTGTATGCGTTCAGATTTTTTCTTTTTTATGTATTAAGGACATATTTTTACTGATGATATTATTATTAGTTACTAATGTTACTATAATATTATTAGTGTTGCAGATTTGGCTTAACCAGTATGTAAATAATATCTAATATAATGTAATAGTATCCTTAGTTAGTCTTTTTTTTATAAGTACGTAAGTGTTTGTGTATATAGTAATTAGTATAAGTACTAAATAGTATATACTATATAAGTATATATATATCTTAAAATTCAATAACAGATAAACGCCCTCATTATACAATTTAATATAAAATATAAAATTAAACAGTAAAAAAATGTA